GCATCAGCCAGCTACGTTTATGCCGGAACTAATTTGACAGATTACATATTTAAAATCTTTCTTATTGAAAATCAAATAACCTTTTCTGAACTGCTGCAATTACAAAACAATTATCTATAATTGCAACATTTTGCAGACATGCGAACACGCAAGATATATACAGTATGTGGCCCAGTTTCGGGTCATTTCAAGTTTGAACTGCTACATCTTCCTTTTCAGGAAAGGTACGATTTTTAAATGCTCACTTGAGAATAGGAAAGGTGTTTCTCAACAATATTTCAAAAGATTGACTTTTCTTACCTTTCACTTTTAGAATTATTTATATTTTTAAGAATCATTTTAGGTGCCCAGTATCGGGTCAACTGCACCAGTATCGGGTCACTTCAAGTTTCTTTGTTTATTGTATAAAAGCGTTTGTTTTACGGCAATTTTCGATCATTTTGTATAGTTTCAACATGTCTTAAGTTATTAACAATTTTTTGTGAGGTTTTGACAAGGTTTAGACATGATATTTCCAGCTTGAAACTACCTCTTCTACACAGTTTTTGCGGAGTGCGTTCTAAGCAGTGCTTCCACTTTCAAAGGTTGAAACATAGCTGACCCGAAACTGGGCCACAAGCCAAACTAAAACGTAATTCGTGGGACCAGAATATATCTCTGAAATTCTGGATAATTTAATTGCCATTTCATATTTATATATTCTCGGCAATAATCTATCGTTAGGACAAAATTGGGCAGTTACATGGAGAATTACATATCAATAATACGATTTATTGTTATTAGTTAGTTTTACTGCGCAGTGAAATGAACAAATTTTAGTAAAAGAATATAAACATACCCGGACAAAATGGATTCTTCTTTGAATACAGTTCAACTAAAAAGCCTGCGAAAACTATCATCCGAAAAAGGAAAGGTTCACCATTATATCTATATATTTCATTTCGCGTCGCTTTTTATCTCGGCGGAAAAAAATGAAATCAAATTTCTATTGACCCGCTACTGGTACTGACCCGAAACTGGGCCACATACTGTACTGTAAATTTTCAGATATTTTTAATATTTATTTATTTACTAATTCGTCCAGATTACATCATATAAATCAGAAATAGAAGTATAATAGTAGGAAACAGCTCATTTATTATATAAAAATGGTAATTACCACATTATCAACACACACAAAAGACAGCAATAACCTAACAGAATCAACATGAATCAAGCTTACCGAAGGCTGTTCGGGACTGAATGTATCTGTAATGTAACGCGTGACAAGACATGTTTTGCCGCTGTCAACTTTGCCCAAAAGAACAACTTTTAAATAGACTTTCTCACTCATTCGCAAGCCACTATTTTGCAAGCTGTCTTTTTAAACCATATGTTTTGAACCATATGTTTAGTAAACCATATGTTTAATTAGTAATATTTGATTTTCATTTCAAATTTCGTTGTCAATTTTTGGGTGACGTTCCTTAATACGAAGGAAGATCGCGGTTGTAAACAGGAGGTCTGGGTCGAGTCGTTGAAAAATTACTTATTCCATCCAGTTTAGGTTAGAGATCAGTCATATCAATATACTCCAAGTTTAGTTTTGAGATCAGTTAATCCGCATTCTTTCCAGTTTAAATTTTGAGATCAGTGAGTCCAATACACACGTCAGTGACGTCACATGAGTGTATCTACTAGTCGAGAGTCATCCAGTTATATTTTGGGATCAGTGAGCTCAATGCGTTTCATTCATGGTTTCATTGGCTTACATCCAGTTAGATTTTAAGATCACTCAGTTCAAAGTTCAAAAATTACATATTCGGCATTTTTGTGAGATCAGCAGTTAAAGTCCAATCCAGTTGTGGTTCTGAGATCATTAGCGAGTACCACAACGCGCGAGTCGCTCGAAAAACAATCTCGAGAGAAGAAAAGAGAAGAAAAACGAACAAGTAAAGCCGTAATGTAGCCCTTTTTCAACAGCATTCGTTCACTGGATTAATTGAAAGAACATCTGAAAGTCTTTATTGACTTACTAATATAAAATATGACAAATATTTGGTAATCAACTGGTATCACTGGCAACTTGGTAAGTCGAGAGTAGTACGGCCTGTGGTGAGGCGCTTGGTTATTTATCAATGAAAAAGTTTACTTTACTTTTACTGTAACATATAAAAGACTATTACACATAGCTTAGATGTGCCCGAATCCTAGTAACTGAGCAGTCCATTGGACGTTTTACTTGATTGAACAGGGGCTAAATAAAGATTTAAAAAATTGCCTTCAGGGCAATTGTGGTTTGCCAGAGTATCATTTCCGGCATTTTAGTCAGCATGACGTAAATTTGACGTCATTTCACTCTGTGACAACGGATGCCTTTTGTCAAGGTATATTTTAAAGACTGGAGTCGGTCACGACTGGACTGTAGCTTGGACTGCTTGGGCTGTAACTTGGAATGCATTTGCTGGATATTTTAAACTGTTACGGATTTTAGAAATTACAGAATCCTTTACCGGCTGATAACTGTGATAGTTTCAGCAAATATATAAAACTAATTTTATTCCGAAAAAAGTGTGCATCAGTTAACAACACATCTATTTTTAAAAACTGTACATTACAAATCTATTTTGATTCATCTTCAGCAGTATAGTTATCCCATATCTTGTAAATAAACTGCTGAAGATGAATCAGAATATAGATTCGAAATATACCGCAGTTTATAAAGTAAATGCGTTGTTAAAAATAAAATGCATACTTTTTTTGGAAAAACTTTAGTTTTATATTAGAAATTACAAGTCGAATATAATCCAACATTATTGGATGTAAAATTGTGAATGTTGGGTCTATTTGAACATTATGTTTTAAAAATATTATAGTTTAGTTGGCTGATATAGTTTAGTTGGCATTTGGAACATTGTTCAAAATATTCCGACAAAGACAATTAAAGTAAAAATGACGTCCATTATTAGATCATAGACATAGTACAGGCATACAGAGTGCTACACTACATGCTGGACCACACGTTTCAGAAAATATTTTCCAGAATCACTTCTAGTAGTGAGGCCACTGAATTTAGAAAATTAGACTTTTTTCTCTAACGCCTAACACTAGAATATATTTAAAATGCGTACAAAGGTCTACTTAGTCATAGAATCTGTCGCTTGCTTTCTGTGCGTGCCATTACAAATCCAGAATTTTGTGAAGACAGAATTTCGACTAGTGAAAAGAGATACTGCATAGTACGTCACATATTCGAGAGGCTAACACGATTTAAGGATTGTCTAAACGGATGTATCGTAAAAATCTCGCAGCTTGTCAACTAGATGTGTTCGCAATGCTTGTTCCGAGTTGTTAACAAGTCTGGAACAAGTTGTTATCATCTTGTAACAAGGCTGATGAGGCCAACAGACTCGCAACAAGTTGTTCCAACAAGTCTGACATCGTCTGCACGTAACACGTCAGTTTAACAAGTTGATGGCAGCAAAAGTTTGTACAAATTGATGGCAGCAAGTTTGTACGTTTTTAACAAGTTGATGGTAGAAAGTTTCGATCCGTACAGCCTGTGTTGGAACAACGTTCTTGTAACAAGTCTGTTGCCGTCATCAGCCTTGTAACAAAGTGATGACGGATCTGTAAACCAGTTGTAACATGGTTGCTCAAGTCGATATTAGGATGCGTTCGTACTGTGCTCGTTCCATACAGTAGTGTTGTGACAAGTCTGGAACAAAGTTGTTATCACCTTGTTACAAGGTTGATGATGGTAACAGACTTGCTACAAGTTGTTCCAAGTCTACCGATACAAGTTGCCACGGGCTTGTTGTCGGCATTTTGACAAGAGAGAAACGATTTAGTTAAATTTATTGCTTCTATGGGAGCATGTTTACGCGAGGCAAATTGACTGGCAAACCTCATCGACTTTCATCACCAATTTTGATGAGAGTTTTTGGCTACGCGCGTGGTAAAATCCAGTTAACTCTCATCAACTCTTGTTTTCGATCGTTTGACAAGTAGAATTGTTTACTTCTGAAGAGCGACTCTATTATATACTTTTGTGTGCAAGTACACTCATTTGCATTGCTCTGTCAGAAACACGACAAAATCGCCGACAAAATTGCTAGTATGAACTAGGCTTTTAGCCTGGTTTCCATATGGTCGTAACGGTCGTAAAGATTGAGTCACGATCTTTCTCAACTTATGATTTATATGATGTGGTTTACAGGTAAAAACTATTATAAGGCCACATAAAATAGTTCCTTGTCCTTGATTCTCACACTATACACTTTGAAAATGTCGAAGGGGCGGGAGGTTTATATTTTATATTTATATAATTTATATATCAATAAATAAAAAATAATTCCTAACGTTTAATACTTCAGTGATTTCCAAAGTGAAGTGTCACAAACCGAAATATTAACTGACATATTTCTCCACGAACAATGACTGAACCCTTGAACTGAATGCGAAGTTCCTTTAAAAGGCAATGAAATTTCTTTCAAGGTTCTGTTTGTTTGAAATTGGCAGTTTAAAATGGCACTAAAAACCCAATATAAAATATAAAAAACTTTAACTGTCTTGAAATATTTTGTCGGGCGGTACATTTATATTGTATTACAAAATATAAACAATTTTCACGCGGCTCTTAAAATACAATCGGGCGGTGATGAGAATCAAGGAATTTATTTTATGTGGCCTAAACTGGCCGTTGAGAGAGATCGTGACTCTATTTTTACGATGGCATTACGACCATATGGAAATCAGGCTTAAAATACGAGGTATTGTAAAATTTTTTTTATAATAAATTATAATTCAACGCCGCGGAGAATGCCGAACCCCCACTGGTTGAGATTTTTTTCTAG